TACTCATTAATTTTGATAAGCAGACAAAAAAAAAAAATTAATTGTAATATAGTTTGGGGCAGGTCGCAATGTATACTATATATGCCGCGGCATGCGTCAACGAATCAAAGTAAAGGAGCAAATTACAAGTAGTAGAATTATATCAATTACATTGTAAGCAATAAAATTATTTTATGCTTAATATAACAGTAGCTTATTACTTTTAATTAACTAAAAAAACTCGCCGAAGCCAATGCTTCGGCAAAAACTTACTCTGGTATCGGCCGAAGCCGAAGCTTCGGGAATAATGCCAAAACTTCGGCATGCCAAAAACTTCGGTACATCCCTACTAGAAATGTTATAAGAAAACATTTAAAATAAATTCTTACATTTTGTTAAAATTCAGTCAACGAGTTGAATTTCTTAATTTCTAATGGTAAATCATAATAGACTCTTGTCCCAGAATAATTGAAAAAACTTTAAATTCAAGTCGGGTTTTTGGAATTTTATTTAGGTTGCTGTTATTTTTTGTTTCAATGTTGGAATTTCAAACAGCAGCGAACAATTTTTAAAGACACACTTGAAGTAAACATTCCTTAATGATATTTTTTTATCTCTCTTTTTTTTTAGTTTGTGTATTTTTACCTATACATTTAAATATATTTTTCAGAGGGTTGTTAATAAAACAATAATAATAATAATAATTATAATAATAATAATAATAATAATAATAATAACAATAATAAGAATGATATTAAAAATAACAATCTAAATAGATTTTATCGGGACTCATCTGCCCTATAAATCAAAACTTTTCTTCGACTATTTATTCAAACCAGGATTTCTTCGACTAGTTATTCAAACCAGGATTGTTTTGCAATCAGGATTGTTTGTCTCAGAACTGTTTTGCGATCGAACTTGTTTAGCGTTTTCCGAATAAGGACTTTCGTCGATTAAGTATTCTTTCACGATTTTAGTGAGGATTGTTTGTAGCTTTTAGGGACTGTTCTGCAACTGAAAACAGTTTGCATAATAAATTTTTACGCATGCGCTAACTAATTAGTTTAATGATGACGGTTAATTGGTTAGATTAGTTGACATAAAATTAAATTAAAATATGTTTTAAGAAAGTTTTGTTTTGTCCAGTTTAAATAAACAAAAAGCTATTTTTTTTTTGTTAATAATTAACTTTAACATTTTCTTAGATGAATTTAAATAACTTATAAACATAAGGATTTCCATTTGATTAAATATCGTTAATATTGTATATCCTTTAAATGTAAGTATATCCATTATATATATATATATATATATATATATATATATATATATATATATATATATATATATATATATATATATATATATATATATATATATATATATATATATATATATATATATATATATATATATATATATATATATATAATGGATATACTTACATATATATAAATATATATATATATATATATATATATATATATATATATATATATATATATATATATATATATATATATATATATATATAAACAAGTAAAAAATCACTTATCAATATTTATTTTACACTGAGTTTAATCAGTAAAGGCTCAATTGAAAGAAATGATATTATCAGAAATAATTTATTAATATATAAGTTCGAAAAAACAAATTTTTAAAAATTATGACTTTATTCTCTATTAATGTCATCTCCATTAGCACATTGCGTAAGAAAAGATTCGCAGTTTCTCACGAAGTTTGAAAAATCATGTTCAGTAATGTGCTCACAACCGTTTCTCATTCGTTTTAATAAAATGTTATTTCCGATAAGAGCTATTTGTCCTTTTGCAGTATTCTTAATTTTCTATCATATCTATCATAAAAATCTAATAATGAATGATGAAAGTTACCGATGTCAATCACCAAGGTAAAGTCTTCCTCCTCCAAATTACTCAAAAAACTCAAAATATATTTTTCTTAATTTCGTAAAATAGTTTCAAGTAATCTAGTTGGAAATTTTTGTAGTTAGTAATCAACGTTGTTGAGGTTACTGCTTTTCACATTTTTTTTTCAATTACTTCTTTTTTTACGTTAAACGCTATATTTTCTTCATAAACATGTTAGATAAAGAACTTAAAAAAATTGTTTTATCGGTAGAGCTAAAGGCGAGTTTCTACTTATCCGTTTTTCTGCGGGAACAGGAAAGGGAACAGAAAAATAATCACGTGAGCATGAGCAGTTTTCTTTTGAACAAATTAAAAGTTATACTACGCATGCTCACGCGATTATTTTACTTTTCCTTTCCTTTCCTGTTCCCGTGGAAAAACGGATGAGTGGAAACTCGCCTTAAAACTTGCAACTGTCAATTGTGAAGAAACCGCAAAATTACGGAAACAATCTTAAATCCTTAAATCGTTTTTTTGTCTTCAAGTTAAAAGTCGTAAATTACGGATTTGTTAATCTTTATTTTGTTATATAATGGAAGACAAAAACTGGTTTTACTTGTTTTTAACTATATAAGTAATTAAAAAATATATAAAATTTGAAAAATTTTCATAAGTTTAAAACAACTCAGCAAAATCATGAAGGGTTACATCGTATTACTTTTGGTCAATCTATTCGTAGAGATTGAAAGTCGCGGTATTTTGCTCAATAAGCATTATGCTAATAGAAAAAATTATTTTGATAACGAATATTTTGAAAACGGACCAAATCGTCGTGAAATGAATCTACATGCCAATCCTGTGGAAAACAAAGATTTTTCGAAAAGCAACAATATCAAAGCGAACATGGAAAATTTGTATTCCGTTGAGAAAAAAACAGGTATGACGAATTACTTTGTAGTTTTGATTTTAAAGAAGGATTATTGTTATAAAATATGTTTCCGTAATTATAAAATAGTTAAAAATTGTTTGTAAAAAATCTTTACTTCCGTTAAATCCGTTTATTTTCTATCTTTAGATTATATTTCCAAATGTTTGACGGCCAACCAGAAAAATTGGTAACTTTAACTTTTGACTTAATTTATTAAACGAGTTATAAATTAAATAAATAAGTAACAAAAAGCTAAGGTTTCATAATAGTAAAACATGCTTTGAAATCTGAACCAAAAGTTGAAGCAAAAATTGCTTCAACTTTTAGTTCAGATCTCTGCGAATCAGTAAAGCGGTTTGTATTAGAAACTTTTACAAGATGTCGAAAATTCTATACCAATTTAAAAAATATATAAAAATTTATTAGAGGTGCAATAGAAAAGTAAACTGTATACTACGTATTTAACTTACGTTACGTCACTTACGCTACCGAGCGATTATTATCGTGGATTTTTTATATCTATTATTTAGTTAAAGTTACGTAACAAAAGAGTTGCAGCCCAGTAAGCCCAGGATGTTTTTAAAACGTTTAAAAACTTATTAAAACGAATATTAACGTTTTTTAAACGTTTTAAAAATGTTCTGTACTTACTGGGAAAAGTATGAACTCATTCATTAAAAATAATTAACAAAGGAAATTTTAAAAAACTGGTGGCACTATCCCCGAGTTTCATAACATTTATGAAAGTTATCAAATTGAAAACAAATTTTCCACAAGACCAAGAGCAACTTAAAAAAATATTTTAGCATTAGAACTTTATTAAATCTTAATTAAGTCATTTCAATAAGAAAATCTTTGGTTTCTCGAGTTTTTACTTACACTTCTTACGTTTATACATATTGTCTTATTTTCATTAGGTTGAATTATTAAAATGCTGCAAAGTATTTACATTTAAATCCTTTAAAATATTTTTGACGTTAAAACTGCTTTTACAATTTAAAAGGGAGAGGGGCTCAGGTATAAATGATTGTTTGTAACAGGAGGAAATGAGTTAAAAGCTCTTAACTCATTTATTTGTCAACTCTAGAGTTGACAAATATAGGATGACGTGCTTTATGGATTATCCCACTTAATTGCATTTTAGAAACAATTTATTTTATAGAAAAAAAAAAAAAAAGGTTTTAACTGATTTTTTTTATATTAGTAGTATAGCAAAAAAATTTTTTTTTTTTTTTAATGTCTAAATAAAAACAATTCTTAATTTTGTATATTTGTATGTCAACCAAAATAAGAATACATAAAAGATAAAAATAAAATGATATAAATAATTTTGATTAAACATTAAAAAAAATAAGATTTTTCAAAAATTCTCTTAATATAAAAAAATAGCATTTTGTCGAATTACATAATGACGTAATTCATTTTGTTAACGAAAAAGCGCCAAAACTTTAGTAAATGCATGTAGTTTAATCTTTTATTCAAAACTTTAAATGTAAAAACGTAACATTTGATATTCTTTTGCAGATATTAATAAAAAACTTAAGTTTTTTAACTAAATTTTAGAAAAAAACTTTATTATGTTTTTGTTAATTTACATTACATGAAAATTGCAAAAGTTCTTTTGTTATTTTCTTGAAATATTTTTTATAAAGTATAAAATCTGAGCAACAACAATTTCAACATGTGTTCAACATGTTGAAACATGTTTCAACATGTTGAACACATGTTTCAACATGTTTCAACATGTTCCATTTTTACGCTAAATTAATTCCGATTAAGCAAATAAATTTATGGTTAAAAGAAAATTTTACAATGATACCTTTTTTGTTTTTTTTATTATGCGACATTGAGAAAAATCGTAACTTTCGGAGGCATAAAAATTACTTAAATTAATTTTAGTAATTTTTATGCTTATAAAAGATATATTTTAAATAAACTTTTATGTGTCTAAATCTATATTCATTTGCTAAAAGTTGACGAAAAAGAGAATAAAGTTTGACTACATTTTTATTTTCCGCCGTGGAATCGCCCATCGATTGCAACTCAGTTCGCCAGCTTTAACTTTTGCAATTGCTTTTACAATTAGCTTTTAGCTATAATTGGTGATGGATTTTCTCTTGTAGTTTCGCGGCATTGTTGCTGATAAATTAATAGATTTAATTAAATTAAATTGATTATAAAATCAACATGACCTGAGAAATTAATTATCAAAACAAAAATATGGAGATAATGATAATTGTCCAATCAACGCGCAAACTGATTATTTTTTTACTTTATTTATTAATTATTTTTCTAAATATATATTAATTTGACGTATTAATTAAATTTTCTAATCAAAAGCGTATAAGGCCAACCTGGTAAATTAAATACCAAAACAAGAGGAAGGGAAATAATATCCAATCAAGGCGCATTTCTATTTAATATAAATAGGTGGCGAAATTCCCCCATTTAGTAATAACTTTGGAACCGATCAAAGTTCGAAAGAAAAAAACAATACAAAAATTCTTTGAAAAATTTCCAATATTTTAGTTTTTTAAAATTTTAATGGAAACAAATAATTTGATTTTTATGAGAACTTTCTGTTTTTTTAAAGATTATTTTTGTCAATTAATTTTTTTATCAAGTTTTCGCAAAAAGAAGATTTTTTTTTTTTACATAATTTGATAAAAAAAATTATTTTTCTTTTAATAGAAATTTGAATTATAAAAAAATCTTATTCCTGAGTAAAGTTATAGTTATAAAAGTAAATATACATCAAATGGTGGCGAAATTTCTAAAATGGCGAAATACCTCATATTAACAATCTCTATTTTATACGCAACTTTTATTACGTAACTTTTATTACGCAACTTTTAGAACAGAACAAATAATTAATATTTACATAATTTTCCATATTTCTCAAAAATTACTTTCTTAAAGAAATTAAACTACTCAGCGAAGTTAAAGAAAATTAATGGAAATTAAATTAAAAAGTTTAACAAAATACTCATCTTTGACAAATTATCAGTGCCGCCGAGAGAGTATGGGGGGGGGGGGGGGGTCGCAAGGAACAGTTTATCCCGAGGTACCTAAAAGATAGAAAAAAAAGATCCTTTATAAATAAAATAGGGAAAGTTTGATAAATAAAGGCGTCAATATGGATTGCTGTCCCAGCTGGCGTGACAGCTCTCGGCGGCCCTGCAACTTATAACAGGTTTTAAATAAAATGAAATAATTGAAAGTTTATTTTTGTTAATTGTTTTTTTTTTGTAAATGATAAAAAACAGTAATTAAGATTTTTACAAATTACATTTTTGAACTTCTTAGGGATTTTGCTCAGTAAGTTTACTTCAAATTATTTTAAACGAGACTAAAAAACTTTTTAAGGTGATTTTTATTCAAAAAAAACTAGAGTTTTTACAAAGTGTTTAAAACATGTTTTATAAAACATGTTTTATAAAACATGTTTTTTTTTTTTTCATTAAAGTTATAATACTCTCCACTTAGTTAAATACTTTATTAACTTCTTAATATATTTGTTGTTTAAATTTGTGTTATTTTAATTTCAGTTATACAAACTGTGTTGTTTAAATTTGTGTTTGTGATATTCACTGTTACAAAATAATTTTTGTTCTGGAAAGATTAATTGCGATTTTGCTTATTAATTCAAAAAGTCATATTATGAGCCAGTCTTAATGAGAGGCGATTATTTATCGTTTTCTGTGCGAGCCTTGGCTTTTTTCAAGATCAACATGCTTTAAAACCATATTTAAGCGTTTAAAATTCTTCCACTTACTTTAAAATTTTCTCTTATTAATAGAAAGGTCATCAACGGCACTGTTTATAATACGTTTATCTAACTTTAACGTTATTACTCGCTTTTTTACCACATTTCCAATTCAACATAGCACTAGTGAAACTTTCAACACTTTTTAAAAATCTTTTCAGAGCCGTAATTTGATATTAAGGAGGTCTATTGTTCTTTTAAAGGAGGGAAGGGATAAAATGTTGGTTAAAAACATTTTTTACATATATGTTTTTCCCTAATAATTATATATTAAAAAATATATGCGGGGAGGGGGGCAAGGTCTAATCCCTCTCCCTAGGTGGTTACGGCTCTGCTCTTTTGATAGAGTTGGGGTAGACTTTTAGGTTATTAGCTATTTCTTTCTGGTTTAGTTCGAAATTTTTCAATAAAACACTGATTTGTCTAAATTTTCGAAGGCTTAAGTCACTTTTTTTTCCCTTTTTGACTTTACATTTAGCAAAATATTCAAAAAACTGCATGAAAAATGAAACGCAAAAAAAGTAAACAATGAACAATGTCGCACACTATAACAAAAGCTTCGTAATTCGGGCGCGCATGACTAGCGTAAACACGACAAAAACAAGCAATTTTCTAAATCTCACTACAATTGCAATCAATTTTTCCAGTAGTGTATATATAGTATTTTAAAATAGATTATATTTAGTAAATAAATATAGTTTAATATTTATATATTTTTTTAGTTACAATGCTGTTAGAGTTGCTGGTTATTCACAAGAAGCGTCGTTTAATACTTGTTGTCAATAAATAACTTGCATTGCAGATTAAAATGAAATAAATTTATGCGCAAAAAGTTAAACTTTTATAATAAACTTTTTGTTTGTAGTATTTATTAGTGTTTGCTTAGGTTTTCGCGAGACCCTAAACTGCCACTGCATATCATATCCTGTAAAGAAAACACCTAATAATAAACTGTGTTGGAAAATTAGTATGCAATAAAATATGATATAACGTATTGGAATGAAAATGATGGGTTTTACGAGGAGGGGTTTAAAGGGGCTAAAACACTTTAAATTAGAAACTAATAACTACCAATTTTTATTTGCATTTCTATTAAATCCTCAAGATTTTGCTGGTCGAATGTACAATGTCATAATTTGATCAAAGGTACACAAAATGGGCTTCTTTAACAATCATTGTCTTAGTTCCCATCTTAGTCCCCAACAATTTAGCCACAGAGTACCGCGGAATTATTTCATACGGAGGTCGCATATATGATTGAAGCTGACCATATATGAGAACTTTTAATTAATTATAACTAAGAATTTGCCTATGGTCCGCTATAACCACATATGCGACCTCGGTATGGCAAACCTCTGCCGTACTCTGTGACAAAATTGTTGGGCAGTTTATAACCAAGAAAATAAATAAAAAAATTATCGGGTTAATGTATATATATATATATATATATATATATATATATATATATATATATATATATATATATATATATATATATATATATATATATATATATATATATATATATATATATATATATATATATATATATATATATTTATATATATATATATATATATTTATATATATATATATATATATATATATATATATATATATATATATATATATATATATATATATATATATATATATATATTGTTCTTTAATTTTAGAACTTTTTGATTAAATAAATATTCGTTAACTATGTATAAATATATACATGATCGTTATTAAGAATTAAAGAACGCGGGAACTCGTAGAAGACCGTGAGGTCTTATCTTAGAGAACCGCTAAAAAGTTTACGTGTTGACATTTCGTATTAATAAAATATTCTCAAAATAAATAAATAAACTTTCCTTTGGATTATATACTTAATATACTTCAAGATAAAAATAATTAGGAATTAAGAATTAATATATATATATATATATATATATATATATATATATATATATATATATATATATATATATATATATATATATATATATATATATATATATATATATATATATATATATATATATATATATATATATATATATATATATATATATATATATATATATATATAGTCTTTTTAGTCTTGAACAACCGCTACACTTGAAATAATCAATTTTGTTAATTAAGCTAGTTGGACTGCTGCATCAGTTTTATAATCTAGTTCATTTTATTCCTTAATTTCCGCACAGCTATAAGGGAGTTGAAAAAATAAAAAGTAGTTAATCAATTCTGTTTTGAAATACCTAGCAGCAAGGTTGGTACCAGGAGTGGAAACTGCATTTTTTAGTCATTGATTAGCTAACTTCCAGACATTGAGCAAACTCCAAACATTTATATGTTAATACTTAGGTCAAATAAGGATGCTTTGCAAAAAATTGTGATTATTGAGGACTGGTTGATTTCTGTACTATTCTCCACTAGAATTTAAGTCATTGTTAAATTTTAAAATTCATTGTTTAATATTTCAGCGTTTTAAGAAATATGACCATATAAAGTTTGAATCGCTCTCAAGATGAGAGGGTTCAATCTCAAAGACCAAAAATTGCAATTTCTGACCATGTTTGGTGTTTTTCCCAAGAAAATTTTCTAAATGGATATGCTTAATGCAATAAAATTTGTGCTTAAACAAAAAACGAGTTTAGGTAAAGCTGACAAAGTTGTAGCAATAAAAAATCAACATTGATATATCAGTTGAAGCAATTTAACTTTGATATACCAGTTGAAGCAATTTAACTTTGATATATCAGTTGAAGCAATTTAAAAAATTTGGAATTTGCGAGTTTATATATTCTCATACCAAAAAAGTTTTGGTATGAGAAAAAAGAAAAATTAATTTTGGCAAAGTACTTGGCAGATGCTGAGATTTTTACGGACTTGCGTGAATGCAGATCAGATTCTTTGCATATAAGTATGGTTTAGCAAATCATAAAAAAATTAAAACTTAATGGATGAAAAATAAATGTGCTGCTGAACAATGACTGCAAAATTTTTGCAAAAGATATAATTATAAATTATCTCTACGTAAACCAAAGCCTACAAGTCATCTGCATTCAATAAAGAAACAGTAAGAATTGTATATAAAAATTACAATTATTTTGAACACGTTATCGTTTTAAACAATTAAAAATTTGGAACTGTGATGACACAGGAATTACCACAGTCTACGTACCACCAAAAGTTCTGGCTCAGAAAAGCAAAAAATATTTGGGAGCATGACTAGTGCTGAATGAAGCAACAATATAACAATGATTGCAGCCATTAATGATACTGGAAATAGCATCCCAACATTACTTGCATTTCTACGAGCTAAATTTAAAGACTATATATTAAACAAAGGAGAATAGGAGGTGGGGGGGAGGTAACAACTCCCCTTCCTCCACCGAAACAATACTTCTTGGTTAAAAAACAAGTACAATTTTTTTCTTGTAAAATCTTGTTCTTATTCTTGTAAGTATAATTTTTGCGCAAAAAATGAACAAATATTAGAAAGTTTGAATGGTTTAAATTTGTTAAAATAGATTTTACAAAAAGTTGCCTTGAAGCGAAAAATGATCAAAAGTACAACAGGTTCCCTTAATGACGAACTCCTCTAAATATAAAAATTAAGAGATAATCAAATAAATAAAAAACTAATAATAATGGAACTTTATATTCTTTTTAGAAAAAAGTTAGACAATTATTTATCTAGTTTAAAAATTTCATTTTTTCATTAGAAACTTAAAGGAGTTTAATGATTTTACCGTAATTACTTGCTTTTTGAAATGTGTTCCATAGTTTTAGTCCACGGTATATTATTCCATATACAAAATAATTGCTACAAATTTTTGGTAATTTATAAGTATTCTATTGTTTTATTATATATTATTTATATAAACAAGGTACCAGGTCATTAAAGTAAATAACAAAAATTAAAGGGCCTATCATTTACTAACATTCTCATCAAAATATTTCATCATTTAATGACATTCTCATCAAAATATTTCATCATTTAATGACATTCTCATCAAAATATTTAATTCAATATATTTTAGTAGTAATTAAATATTCCTAATACTATTACGTAAAAAAAAAAAAAATTAAGTAAATACTATGACTATGATATAATAATTCTTGAGGTACACCACATACAACTTTTCCTGTTTTAGATATTGTGTTTTGAAAACAATTTGTTTGAGATCTGTTAAATAAGTAATCTTTAAAACATTAGGCATTATCATGAACACCATTAAGCTTGTTGATTAGTATTCCGTGATTTAAAGTGTAAAATGACTTACTCAAGTCAAGCAACTATTTTACCTTTGTCAACTTTTCGTTTTATGTTATCTACAAACAACCTTGCAGCTTGTTTTGTTGATCGTTTACATCAAAAACAAACTTATTGTATTTTATCAAACTGGTTTCCTCTAAATAATTTGATAATTGGATGTGTACAACTCGCTCGATACTCGACAACTCGCTTGATAATGTTTGATATAGTTGGTGTTAAAGATATAGGTTGGCAGTTTTGAATGTTGTTGTGGGACTTTGATTTGTAAATTGGGAGAACTATCAAGCATTTCCAATCAGTTTTTTTTTTTTTTTTTTAATTTTTTTCTCTGTTTACATAACATAAGAATTTTACAGATTCTACTACATAATATAAAATTTAACAAAATAAGTAAAACAGATAGGGACTCAAAGAAGATGAGGATGAAAGAACGTCATCGCAATCTTTTCATAGAACCCCTTTAATTAAGATTTAATTAAAATATCGTAATATGACATACAAAATAAAAATGTCAATAAAATATCATAACAAAATGCGTAATCCGCTAATAAAAATTGTCAAGCAACAAACAAAAGTCGAAACAAAACAAAAACTTATTTAAGAAAATTTATCCAAAGCATTATTAACAAAAAATGTTTTACCGGTTTTGAAGATTTATTTTTTTGTTAAAAATTTGAATGAACTTAACGAACTCACCGTACCTTTGAACTCTTTCTGAAAAATATTCCATACTTTTGGACCTCTATACAATATATGTTATATGAGGAAGCCAGGATAATTTTTCATCAACAACGATTCCCAAAAATCTTATATTGGATTGCTTTTTAATTAATTTATCATTTATAAATAGGTTCGGCAACTTGAGAGGAAGATTTTCTTCTTGTGTTTTTTTATGAAAAAGTATATAGTTTGTTTTCTCGGTATTAAGTGAGAGTTTGTTAGCCTTAAACCAGTTATTTACAGTTTGATAAGTGATTCTAATCAGTTGGATTGGCGAAGCATTTCCAATCAGTTGGATTATGTGAGTAAACAGTCTAGACGTTAGTTGCGTCTTTCGGTATTAACGGTGATATACTGTCTAGGCCGGTAAAATCTTTTGTTTTCAAAAGATTTTACCGGCCTAGACAGTATATCACCGGCCGGTAAAATCTTTTGTTTTCTCCGTTATTCTTTTTCTATTTGATCAACAGTTGCAGGTACATATTTAAAAGATCTGTAAGTACGAGTTGGTTCTCGATGTGATAACGCCCATACATAGTCTTTGAGAAAGTATATTACTTTAAAATAGATATAAATTTACAGAAATGTTCACAAAACGCAAATGATATTTCTCAAAGATAAAGATTAGAGACAAGTTAATTATAAATGTTGTACTAGTTAAAAATTTAGTTTTGGAAGTTTTTGGAAGTTTTTTAAAAATAAAAAAAATATTTTAATTTTTTAAAGCTAGAACTCTGTATGGCAATGATTACAGCAACAAATAAAACTTCTTATACTCAGAAATATTTAACTCTGTTTCTTTTTCCTAATCTTTCTATTTGCGTGCACTTCTACCAATTGATACAACAGCGCTGGTGTAAAAAAATAACTTGAT